TATGGAAAAATAATGAATGCATAAAACAACAAAAATTAATAAATAAAAATTTTATTTAGCCTTAAAATTAAATGTCAGTACTTTGTGTTCCCTTCCCTTGCCCTAATAACTCCTCGAAGACGATTCTTCATAGACCTGATCAGCTTTTGAATTGATTCTTGTGGGATACCTTCCCACTTCTCAATCAACGCCGATTTCACCTCATTCAGGCATGAAGAAGCAGAAGTTCTGGAACGAACCCTATTCTTCAGTTCATCCCACACGTGCTGAATAGGATTCAAGTCAGGGCTGAGCGCAGGCCAGTCCAATGTGGCGATATAGACTTCTTCGAAGTATTCAGTTGTTCCACGGGCAGTGTGACAACGAGCGTTATCGTGCTTAAGGAGGAAGCTATCACCGGCATATCCCGCATAGGGAACGACACGTTCCAGCAGAATATTGGAAATGTACCCGTCCGAAGTTGACCGCCTCCTCGTCCCCCACCAGGCACGAAAACAAGCTCGGTTTTACCGTCGAAGGAAATGCCGGCCCACATCATACAAGAGCCGACCCCATAAGCCACTGTTTCAGCGAAACAGCACTGCGCAAATCGCTCCCCAGGCCGCCTGTGGACCCAACCTCTTCGGTCGCTACCATGCAAACACATCCTGCTCTCATCGGAGAACAGGATTTGCCTCCATTGCTCAACCTCTCAATTAAGATTGGTACGAGCAAATTGAAGGCGTGCTTGTCGATGAGCTACCGTGAGTTTCGGGCCTGTGACAGGCCTTTTTGGAGTCAGATTCGCTTGCTTGAGTCGTCGACGAACTGTCTACTTGCTAGCTGCTACCCTACGAACATCTCGGAGCTCCTATTGGACGTCGACACCAGGTTAATGCCGATTTCGGAGAGAGGTTAACACGATAAAACGGTCATTCCTCTCCGATGTGCCCCGGCGCCGTCCAGATCTTGGTCTCGGGATAAAGCTACCAGTCTCTTGAAAGCGCTTGCAAACTTTTGAAACACAGGAATGGCTTATTTGGAGCCGACGAGCGACAATCCGCTGGCTGAGCCGCTTTTGCGACGTCGAAGAAGAGAGCTCCCGTGTATAACGGTTTTGGTCGATTAAGCCCCACAAGAATGTGCTCCGTGAGGCGGTGCACCTGTTGAACGCATGAGTGATTTGTACGGAATCCGAATTGTTCATCGATGAGAATGCCCTTGGATGAGACGAAGTCTCTGAGGCGTTTGTAGAGCAGACTCTCATACAGTTTGCCTAGAGACATGAGGAGGAGGCTAATCGGGCGGTTTGACAATGGTCCGCGCGATCTTGTGTACTAAATATTTTTTTGATAATCATAAAAATTAGATCATTTTAAAGGTTGAGCTCTTAACTTTAAACTGATATCAAATTCATTAAAATCAAGGCAGTCTTTAAGAAGCTATCTTGGATTAAGTAAAGGACGTGTTTAAAAGACGTGTTTTAATTATTTGATACGTCGCGAGTTGCGGCCTATTGACCCCTAAAAAAGAACCTGTTATCGGATTTTCTTTATCAGTCGACTTTCAGACGTTGACCGGTACATATCTCCGCTACTTTTGACCCTTTACCTTGTACGACAATTGGGACAATACCTACAGAAGTAGCACAAATCATAGCCCTATTGCAAGAAGA